ACCACGACTACTACTACTACCACTACTACTACTACTACGACTACTACTACGACTACTCCTACTACTAGCTACTACTGCTACTACTACTAGTACAACTACTACGACTACCGCTACTACTCCTACTCTTACTTTTACTCATACTCCTACTAGTCCTACTCCTCCTACTACTTCGGCTACTAGTACTACTACTACTGCTACTACTCCTACTGCTTCTGCTGCTACTCCTGCTACTACTGCTATTACTACTACCACTACTACTACTACTACTACTACTACTACTACTACTACTACTACCACGATTATTATTACTACTACTACTACTACTACTGCTACTGCTACTACTGCTACTCCTACTACTACTACAGCTACTACTACTACTACTACTACTACGACTACTACTACTACTACTACGCCCACTATTACTATTACTCATAACTACTACGAATAACTACTACTACTACTAACTATTACTACTACTACTACTACTACTACTACTACTCATACGGCTAACTACTACTACTACTACTACGACTACTACTACTACTACTACTACTACTACTACTACTACTACTACTCTTCCTGCTTCTACTACTACCACGAGTACGACTACTACTCCTACGCCTATCCTTATCCCTTATTAGAATATACTCCTACTCCCCCCTCAGGCCGGCAGATAGCGGGCGCATCCGGGTGGTCCCATCCGAACCTGTAAAAAGCAATACAAAATCAATATTTTTCTTATTTTTTGCTCTCGACATGGACGTCCTGTCGTCCACGGCGATAATCCATTGCAAAAAATTCCACAAAGAGCACACGCGCGCGTTCATGTCAGAATCCTACCGAACACCGTGTGTTTGCAAGCATTTCAACATAAAAGCATCAAAAACAACCCAATGCAGTGTTCACAAACATTTGTAACAAAATCCCGCCCGGGCTCTCTTGCTGAAATCATAGGAAAACCATGGGAATCTTAAGAATTCTGTCAAATCCAGCGATTTCACGTCAACGCGCGGTGCACTCGCGATGCTCTGTCATGCACCCAGGCCGCGAATCCTGTGCAAAAAATACCACAAAGAGCACACTCGCGCGTTCATGTCAGAATCCTACCGAACACCGTGTGTTTGCAAGCCTTTCAACATAAAAGCATCAAAAACCCAATGCTTTTTCACAAAAATGCTTTGGGGTGTCCTGTCAGACCGTCGGGCTTCCTCCGGCCACCTCTGGCTTCCTGCGGTGTACCGGGCCATTCTCGACTCGTCTGGCAATGCTTGCGCGGCATTCAACACGCGCTCGCCAGTTCCCGTCGGCAACCGCCATCGCGG